ATTCCTCAAATCACCAATCTAGCTGAGGACAGTGTGTCAAAAACTTGCCTAATCTTTCCAAGTTTAATATACTCACTCCTAGCCAAACAAGGACTCAAGACACATGGACCAAAAGTACATATCAAAACCATCAACACTACCAAGAAGCTAAGAAAAGGGGGTCACCAGAATGATCTCAAATCATCATCACCAACAAAAAATCCAACAGATCAGAAAATCCTAGCAAAATACTTCAAGAAAAGATTAGAGGAATTGGAACTCTCTGAAAACCAAATCCTGAGAAGACAAATGGAAATCAAAGAAGAGAAAGCTGAAATCATACAATGGCTAAAAGCTCTTGAAACAGCAAATGAAGAAGAAGAAGAAGAAGCATAGGAAGATGGCCAAGCAGACAGCTCTGAAAAAGAAGAAGATGACCAGGAAAGTGCGCAAGAAGAAGGTGTTGAAACCTCAGTTTCAACATCCTCATGAAAGTTTTTAGCAAAAAAGGGGGAGTAGTATGGAGAGAGAGAGAGAGAGAGAGAGTATGGGTGTTTATTTTGTTTTGAAAATCACAGTTATAACTGTGGTGTATCTATGATGTCTATCCCTCCTAAAATCCACAGCTAGTACTGTGTGTATTTTTGAACAATCCTTTGAAGAAATCAAACAACACTCCTTTGTGATCAACAAAAGATTCTCAGTATTCAACTTATCTATCAAGCAGAATAAACAGGGAATCAATTAAGGGGGAGACATTTCAGGAATTAAGTCTCTAAATGAAGACCAAGATTTTTGCCAAAAATTTGACAAAGGGGGAGAGTGTTGACTCAAGATGATGTTTTGTCAAATTATGTGCAAAAAGGGAATCCAGTTCCATAAAGGAATACTAATCCTAAAAAGGCAGTAGTCATTAAAGAAATCTATTTCCACTGGGACTAAGTTATTAAAAGAGTAAATACCCAAAATGGTCCCTCGACTATAGCTAAATTCACAAATTGGTCATCGACTTTCAATTTCAACCAATTAAGTCCTTAACTTTGTAATTTTGACACGATTTGGTCCTCCATCTATTTGACCATTTGTTGACTGTGATTTTTGAGGATATATATGTAATTTCATGGTCCATCGTCGGTTTTTTAAGGTTCCGGTTGCATTTCCAGACCGCACTGTTACATTTGAATCTACTGTCGAAAGCAATCTACCAAATCCGGTCGTCTTTCTTCATCCCCCCTTTGGATTCAATGTAGTTGAGTTTGTACCAGAGCGAAGAAGACGGCGTGTTTCCGAACTAGTGCAACATCATCCTGGAGGCCTCCACGTGCTCCGACGAGAGCTGAAGGTTCTTTTGGAGATCATCGATCACGGTCAACAAACGGTCAAATAGATGGAGGACCAAATCATGTCAAAATTGCAAAGTTAAGGACTTAATTGGTTGAAATTGAAAGTCGAGGACCATTTTGTGAATTTAGCTATAGTCGAGTGACCATTTTGGGTATTAGTCCTGGTTTAATTAGGATTAACATTAAACTACTAGGCATGGCCACTATAAATATGGGATGTCTTTCAATGCATAATTAAGCTTTCAAGATTTAATTGTGAGGTACGAGAGTCATTGAGAAGAGATACCCAAATCCCCTTGAAAAGTAGTACATGTATTTAGGTTACAATAGTACGATAGGAAAGATCATTCTATTGTGTAATCTCCGATTCCAAACAGCGTGCTTTAAATATTAAGCTTTTAGTGAATTTAGGCAAATTCTCAACTTGAGAAGTGTCTCACAGATTAGGGTTGTTTACCCAAACTGCGTTATAAATCGTTTGTGTTACAACGTCAGTTTTAACATCATTGTGTGGTGCGCTTATATATATTTCAATTACAATCTTAATTCTCCCTTTCTGATTTACTTTCTGATGAGTTACCTTTACATCCATCTTCATCTTTTCCATTTGCATATGGTGCTGACCTGCCAAGATGGTAATAGTTAATATTATTATGGTAATAATAATATTTTCCTCCTTTTATTATTATTTTAATTAAAGAATTAAGGAATAAGGAATTAATTGTAATTAAACTAATAATGATCCAGACTTCAGGTTAGTATACAGATATTACTATTATTACGCCATTTTCTGTCCTTTTATTAGATTGTTTTTATACTCTTAATATTATGCTAATTACAGAATTAAGAAACTAGGGAATTGTGCAATTAGTTACATAACTTTTAGAATAATTGAGTAATGTTATAGTTTGATGGTATCTATGAAAGGGAAAGAGCAGAAAGATCAAGAATGAATCAACTCCAGAATCAAATCCCCCATTCCCATTAAGCATTGAAACAAACATATATATATCACAAGGATAACAGTTACAATATAATAATATCATAAATGGGGAAGATCATGGGTTTGAGGGAGACAATGGCCATAAATCAATAATCAATAATATTTATAACACTCCCCCTTGGACATTATTCGTCTACAATCTTGCTTTCATACAAACTTGCTAGGAAAACCCTGTGGGAAAAACCTAGACAAGAAAAATGTATCCATGCCTCATTAAAAACTTCGCTAGGAAAACCACGTGAGAAAAACCTAGTTGAAGAAAAAAGTACATGATATATGTAAAAACATATATTGTATTTGGTCGCCTCATTAAAAACCTTAACTTAAGAAAACCCTGTGGGAAAAACTTAGTTAAGGGAAAAAGAGTACAACCATAAGCCTTCAGGGCGCAAATCGCATAATCTTCAGGATTTTGGGGTTTGTCCATTTAAGCAATTATTTTGTAACTTTTCCCCATTGTCATTACTATATCATACTCATGCCTCGTTAAAAACCACACTAGAAAACCCAATGGGAGAAAACTAGTGAGGAAAAGAGTACACATGATATTTATGTATTTATGTGTTACAAATAGTGCGCAACGGTTATTCTTTTATGACTTAATCTTCAGGATTTTACGTTCAATCTTCCGGATTGATTCAAGTAAATGTACTTCTCGTTGTGTTAAAAATAGTGCACAACTGTTAGTCTTTTATGACTTAATCTTCAAGATTTTTCGTTCAATCTTCCGGATTGATTCAAGTAAATGTACTTCCCGTCTCCCACTGAAGATAACAATCTTCAAGTTCTACATATATTTCAAAATTTGAAGAGATGAATTGGACAAATCTTCTGGATTGTCACTGGAGTAGTGTACAATAATCTTATGGCTCTTCTAGAGCTCATATAACATTTGTGCAACACAAGTGTTATTTTTCTCATTTTGAACATTTAGGAAAATTCATTGTATAACCAGTTTTGGACTTGGCATTGCGGGGATCAAACAAAACAGCCAGTATCCAAGTAGCCTATTAAAACCGTATCATGGTTTGTTACATAAATGTCATGTCTTTGTATCTCAAAGATACAGGAGGATATGTTAATCATTATTCAAGTACTTCATTTGTAGGGGGGAGCACTAGATTTTGCTAGCAATTTCATCGCAAATATGTTGCGATTATGGAACTTCTGGTTCTATAATGGTGCTCCAACGATAATGAAGTAAGGGACTTCAAGTCCAAAAAGGTTCCTTATCTGCTTCAAGATATTATTAGGCAACCTTTAGTTTGATAAGAACATGACACTTATATGCATATAGACATGTGAAAAAGCAATTTTAGATGTAGCCTGACTGGTGTATATAAAAAAATCTTCAAAGAAAAACTCGATCTTCAAGTCGAGATAATACTTATAGCTTTCACAAGCTTTTTATTTCAAAAGTCTCAGTCTTTAAACATGAACTGACATTATCAAACTCTTTATATATTTCATTGATGTTTACACCATCAATCTTGACTGAGATAATAAATAATAAATAAGTTCATTATCAACCCTTTATCGAGCACACAATGGTACATATTATTCCTTCAATGAGGATATTAACTCCATTCGCAACCCTTTAAAGAGTAAATAATGACACATAATAATACTTAAATAAATCCTCATTTCGAGAATTATGAATCCATCAGGGATTTCTCAAGATAAATTTAACTGCATATCTAAATTTAGTATTCTGCCAATTGTATTATGTAGCGGAACTTAATGTCATTTACTGTGGGAGAGTATATTTGATGAAAATCAATTAAGGGTCTCTGCGTGAACCCATAGGCTACAAACTCGCTTCATCACCTCATTATTCTTATTTCTCTTTCATGCACACACCCATTTGTAACTTTCAGGGCTAACGCTCAAATGGTGTATTGTTATAAAGAGAATTTATTCATTTTAGCGAGTCGAGCTATGCCTTAATTGCTCCTTTATATGTTAAATAGTCATGACACTTCCGGTGCCTAACTCTGGATCCAGATTATCATATAACGAGCAATTTGTAATGGCAATTGTGTTGTCGACAACTATAACCTTTATATAAATGTCTCCCATATTTGTAAAAGTAATGGCAATTTCTAAAACAACCAGATTCTAAACATTTCCCAAAGATATTTTGATCTGGTCGTTCCGCATCCCTAGTATTACGTTTGTTTGGTGCACCTATAAGTCTTACCAGGGTTTTTCGTCATCTGGACGAACGTCTGCAGGACATAATTATTCAAGCTATTTCAAGAGTGACAATATTTCTTTACTAGATCTAGTATTATGATCCATATCTCTTTCACCGATAGATCTCCTACACTTCTAGTGTCAAGGAGTATCGATAGATATGTTTGGTCCAAGGATATAGGACCTAGTCACTTCTTTTATGATCATTATGATCAATAGATGTATTTGGCAGATTATTTGCTAAAATCGCAAATAGATTATCTTTTGAACTTCCAGTTCAATCTAACTAGTGCATGGATTTTAATAATCTAGATGTTTTTATTCTTATGAAATTTCTTGGCATTCCAAAAAGCTACGGAGTAGTATATTATCTCCCCCTAATGCCGAGAAACAATCTTCATTAGGAATGCAGTCAACGTACCCAATTATATGTATTGATCCCCTATCATGGGCTTTCGGTATTTAATCAATAGGCGGAGGTTTGTTTGATAGCCATTTTAGAGGTACGTTGTGGTGGTGATATAAAATAGACTCCGCAAATAAAATAACGCAGATAGAGAAATGTTACTTCTGAAACCACGTACTAGGTGAAAAAGGGGGTATAGCAATCCTTGAGGGATTGATTTCTGATATGCATTGAGTTAGACTTGGGTAAAAAGAACTTGACTCATAGTAACGTCATAGCAATCCTTCAGGGATTGATGGGATAGGTGGACCATTTTTGGTCAAAAATTTATCGTCAAGGTTCATCCTTAGAGAATTAAAGTCCTTAATCTACCTTCTGGGCAAATAAATATAGAAAAATGAGGTCTATAAACTTAAATACATATGCCCAAATCTCATGTCAAAGAGTTTCTATAGCAGAAACTAGCACTGTAAACATGTCATAGCCTTTAATTGTTATCACATGCAGGCTAAGGTTTAGCAACGACAGGTGCAACCTAACAATACTGAGAATTCATGCTATTGCCTCACTTATAAGTTGTGTGATGAATTTCAATAGCTATGGAATATAGCAAATCATAAATTGCCAACAAGAGAAATAACAAAATCTCTTATGTGAACATAATCAAGAGATTATATGCTAAATGTTGTCAATTAAAGAGAAGCACATGCAATATGTGATATAATTGTCCCTTATGTCTTGGACACCAAAAACTCAATTTAGTCATGCACATCATATTTGGTACACAAAAGGCATGACATGACAAGAGATATTCTTATTAATTCATAAATTATAAAAATGAGAGAAGTACCGTTCGCCGAAGAATGATGAGCACATGTTTGTTGCCGGGCCCATTCATTCCTATTTTGGGGAGTCAAAAATAGTACTTTTCCAAGCAAGCTCTCATTTTATCTCATAGTTTCATACAAGTATGAAAATATCACAAAACAACAAGATATACAAGCTGAAAATGGCAGAAAATTTTCAGAATTTTGACCTGGATTGCTGAATTTTCTGGGAAAAACGGTAACACATTTTGACACAAAATTTTACAGAGATGTATTTCAGCAAGTCTATAACATACACGAAAATTTTCATGTCAATCCAAGGTCTAGAGGTATTTTTTCTAAAAATTTTCCCAACATTGCTCTAGGCAGAAAAATAATTGACAGCACAGTGCTAAAACTTTAATTTTTTTTCTGGAATCACCAAAGCATATTTTTAACAAAATCTTTTTACAGACATCAAATACCACGAGTCTAGGTTCTCCAGAAAAATTTCATGCCAAAAGGAGTTCAAGAAGTATTTTTCACGAATTTAATTTTCAAACTGCGCCGATCCAAATTTTCAGGCAGTGATTACCGTGTGTAAAAAAAATATTCACAAGTTGTTTGCTTCAGGCAAACCAACATGATGCGAGTCAATTTTTACTTTCGGAGAGTAGCATATAGCATTAGAAATAGAAGTTGCAAACTTCATTCATAAGTCATTAGTCACTTTAAAGATCAATCCACATTCAGGGTCTTCCAGACCTTATTAAAAAATAACCCAATGACCGAACACTTAGCATAATTTTGTCATGTACTACTACTGGAGTACAATACGACCATCATAGATGACAATGGGACCCGCGTACACCAAATATCCTTCCGGGATTGACTTAGGGTCTATAAATCCTTTTTAGATCAAATTTCTATAATCAAGGGCTTGGAGCAAGGTAGCGGGTGACAGATAAAATTAGTGCTCTTGATTTACCTTCTGGGTAAAATTATATTAAAAAAATGCACTATTATTTTGTTCAGATACTCAAATTTGAGATATTTAAGATTCAAGACTCATGCCATATAATTTTATGATAAAAACAAGTACCATCAATATGCATGAATTTGGACAAATAATCATCGACTTCCAAATCAGAATTAAATCAATTTGACATTAGTCATATAACTTGTCATAGTGCTATTATCATATAACTAGCGCTATGAATTCGCCTTCTGGGCAATGCAATGTTTAAAATTCATGTTGTAACCACTTGTTGATCATGACAATCCTACAAGGACTATCGTATAATAAGTATATAAATCAATGGCTTTAATTTTCCATCTGGGCAAAGCTCCCATTAAGATTTATAAATCTTAATATATATGGCCTATAGCAAATAATTATTATGCCACATTTTCTTTTCTGATATACATATAGTCATATTGCATAAGAGAGCAAATTCTGGCACAAAAATTATTGTCATGTAATAATCAGTGCATTCACTGCACAATGTATGCGGTGATCACATCATCAAAAAAAATGTGTCACAACATTATATATTTCAATTAAGCTCTCAAAAAAACTAGGCATCAACTGGATGGATATGCATATAACATTATCTTAAAAAGTAAGCATAATCAAAATTATCTAAAAAGATAATCATTCACGTACCTAAATTCAAGTAATCTATGCCATTTACCATATTTCAGTTTATAATTTGACATGGTATAACAACATTATGCAATATGATTGTATTGCCTATTAATAATAATAGTTTATTGACATAATTCCAGGCAATAACATGAAGTGCATAATCAAGCAAGTAGGCATAGATGATGTAGTTTTAATCAAGTAGGATCAAAGACAAACCTCGCTAGAGTATGGTCGGGAACTCTAGCATGAATTTCCAACCTTTGACTTGATTTCGCTGGGCTGGCACTCGCTACAGGAGTGGTTGGCTTGGAAGAGCCCTCTAAACGTGAGATTACTTCCTGCGGATCAACAAATTAAGATCTGCAAGCAAGAGGCGACCTCCATTTACAGGCCACTGAATTGAAGATTGTACACATGCAGCATATCGAGTCTCTATGGCTTCCTCGACAGAAGAAAACTTGACATAGAAATGGATCTTGATGCGGTTCGATCCATCCAGAAATTGCAGATCTTTCCAGGCCAGTTTGACCTAGAGCAATCTCCATGTGATATAGCTTTGGTCCTAGAGACAAGTCGGCAGCGAACACGCCATCCATTAACGCAAAGAAAACAACCGACGGCAACTCCTATAGAGGATTGAACTGGCTCGTTTGGCATCCTGTGTCTCATTAAAAATCTTCTACAGCTATTGTAGTGATGATTGATTGGGGACGAAATAGAAGCAAGTAGGGCTCCATCCTTTATCTCTCTCGCCACTACTCTTCGCCGGAAGCTATGGATACTTTCTGCGTGCAGGAAGGTGAGCGAGATGCCTCTTTCAAGTTTTCTCCCGCACAGCGCAACATATCAAGCAAACATATGGAATCTCTGCAAGACCCTCTCGAACAATTCCATTGGCGATCTCAAAAAACCACGACAGGCCCTACGTTTTCTGGACGCTTGCGAGAACACTACAGGCCCTGGTACTCCGATTCGATCCTTTCCGGTGAAAACAGAGACTCCTACGGATCATTCGGCTCCGTTCACTATGATGGCGGATGCTGGATCGCCGGGGACTGCGCTGTCGATGAAGATCGCGATGATTTGCCGCCGGGAATTGTTGCGGGAATTGTTGAATTCTGGAGTCGGACAGACCTGTCGACGAAGATCGCGATGATGCGGAACTTAATGCGCTATCCGAGGATTTTTGCTGATGCGTTATCCGCCGGGAAAAAGTCGTCTGATGCGGAACTTAATGCGCTATCCGAGTGACAATATCCGGTTAGCGATCTCCACCGCATCAGGTCTGTCAATATCGATGGATTACCATTATCAACAATGGCATCGAAGGTCCAAGACAAAGCAAAGAACCACTATTTTGGAATTCACGTCCGAAGAACTTTTGGTTCACCGAGGATGTAGAGCAAAGTGCTGATAACGTGTTATAGTTTGATGGTATCTATGAAAGGGAAAGAGCAGAAAGATCAAGAATGAATCAACTCCAGAATCAAATCCCCCATTCCCATTAAGCATTGAAACAAACATATATATATCACAAGGATAACAGTTACAATATAATAATATCATAAATGGGGAAGATCATGGGTTTGAGGGAGACAATGGCCATAAATCAATAATCAATAATATTTATAACAAGTAATAATTATTAGAACCAGTAATAATTATTATGGTAGTTAAGTTATAATATACATATATTACTAATTTTTGAAATTAGTATCCGAATTTAGTGTACTGTAATATTATTATTAGTTAGTTTTCCTCTTATTATTATTTTAATTAAGAATAAAGAATAAAGAATAAAGAATTAAGAAATTAATTGTAATTAAGCTAATAATGGTCCAGACTTCAGATTAGTGTACAGATAATATTATTACGCCATTTTATTGGACTGTTTTTATACTTTTATTATCTTAACTATAATATAGCTATATGGTTTGGTGAGCAATTATTGTAACAATAATTGCTCACCAAACCATATTGTTATATTATAGTTAAGAAACCACGCATATGGTTATATAATAGTTAAAATTTATTTATTTACTTATTACATGGTGCATACAAATTCAAATTAAACTTAATTCATTTTCATCTATATTGCCTCATCCAATTCATCCAAAAACTCACAAATAAACTTCAATTGAGATTATTCTAATGAGGTCAATCTTATAAATTTAGTACATAGTATTTAATATTACAAATTTTTAAGAACTTAATAAACTACAATAGTAATTGAATTACAATTTTCAGAGTCACCGCAGATCAAAATTTTTAAACCTTTGAGATTTCTTGAGTACTATTGTAGTTTACTAAGTCCTTAAAAATTTGTAATATTATATACTATGTACTAAATTTTTAATATAGTTTAAGATTTGTAGTAATCACCCACCGTAAATATCAATTCTTATTTTAATTGTAAATATATTTGTATATGTTCATAATTTTATCATAGCAATACACACATAATTATTAAATAATAAAATTTATATATATGAATAAACCTCATATAGGGTATATTTTTATAACATATTTTCCGTGCATCGCACGGGACAAATACTAGTTATTAGTATAATAACAAGTATTTTCGTCCGTGTGATGCACGAAATGAATTTGTTGTAATATATTAAGAATATTTGGATCGATATATAATTATTTAAATTAGAACATCAAATACTCTGTATTATATAATACAATTGAAAATGTGGTTTGGATTATTTGTGTGTTTTGATGTTATCATTGCTTTTACATTTTAGTAGGGGTGTCAAAGTGGGCCGAAGCCCGCGGGTTAGTCCGCACCCGCCCCACAATGGGGCGGGTTAGGGCCGCAAGAAATTAGGCTCGCGAAAATACGGGCCTAACGGGCATGGTCCGCGGAGGGCCAGAGCCCGTGCGGGCAAACCCGCGCGAGTTGCGGGCCGGCCCGCGAGCGAGACCATATTTAAAAAATAAATAAATAAATTATATATATAATATCTTTTTTATAAAAAATCATATATATAATATCTTAATCCTTAGGCAATGTGTAGATCTAACTATCTAAGACTACGCAGAAGGGGAGAAATCCAATAATTCAATAATCCTTCACAAATTCTTAATTCAATAATTCCTAGAGTACGTAGTTCTTCTTCGGTTCTCCCGTCTCCATCCGCCTCCAACTCTATCAAATAATTACTAAAACTAAATCATCAATTCATACATATTTATGAATTACTAAATCGCCCCCAAGTCAAGCAAACATACATATTTATATATGTATTATACATAGACGGGAATTGTAGAGGGAAAATCTGAAACCGAGAGAGAAATCAGTGCTGTTGAACCCTAGCTTTGATCACCCTTCTCCAGTTCTGCTGAACGCGCGGTATCGATCTGGGAGATTTGGGCGAGGTTTATGGATTTTATGGAAGTTTTCGGTGCCATAATTCAAGCGGATTTAACATGTTTATGATGGACAATTTTAAATAAGTCCTCGCAAGTGCACGAGTCAGTGTAGTGATAGTGTGCAAAGGCAAGGATCGAACCCACGGGAAATTATACGATGCAATTTAACAACTAAACTTGAAAAATTAACGGTTCAAAGCTAATTTAGAGTCAAAATGTACTTAACAAATGGGAGCAATTAGAAAATATAGGCCGGAAAGATAATAACAACGAAATGGAATAATATCAAATTAAAATTACGAGCTTGATAATTTAAAGTGCTCAAAGCAAATATCAAATATTAAAATAACTTAAATGCGAATCATAGTTCAAAGCGTAAGATAAAACATAATTGAATTGAAAACATATATTAAACACATAACGACTGCAAAACTTCCATAGTGTATTGTTCATGTTACCAGAAAAAAAACTAGAGTGTACTATTATAAACTTTGCAATAATAATTAAATCACAATGCTTCATCTCTCAACACTAATTAAAACAATCAAATATTATAAAGGGTAAAGAAGAATTAAAACAGTGTGCACTTAGGGAATTGAAGAAAAAAAAAAAGAACAAACAAATGCAATAATCTGGAGACAATTTCAATGCTAAATAGAGAAAAAGAATAAACAAAGGCAAGAGTAAGAATGAAAAATAAAAGAGGAATTCTTATGCCAATTACGGAGCTGTCGAAGTCAGAAGAAATCTCATGCCAATTCCGAAGCTGCCGGAATAAATTTGACGCACCAAGGTAGGAATTAATTGCTGCTGCTATCAAAATTTGGACGGGGCAATCGAAGAAGCTGCGGCATACAATCTGAATTGCTCTCTTCTTTTTTCACCTCCGGAATTGATCCTGGGTCAAAAAAACTAATTCTTCTTTCCTTGAATTCACCATCTATTTATATTGCTTTCTTAACCAAATTCTTCCGTAATTTCTCTCTAAAGTTGCTTGATCATGGGAAACTCTACTGCTCACCGCCTCACTCGGATCGTAGCCATTGACGGAGAAGAAGTCTGCGATTCTTAATAATAATAATAATAATAATAATAATAATAATAATAATAATAATAATAATAATAACCTTATTAGAGACCATATATAACTAATCTACATTTATTAAACTCCTACTGAACATGTACTACTAAAGTTAATATTATTATTAATAAATTAAGATCAAAGAATTATTAGACTGACAAAATTCAAATATTAAACAAATTTAATAAAACTATTCTAAAATTGAAAAAAAATTAATAAAGCTATTAAAAATAATAATAAATAAAAATATATATTAATTAATTAATTATTAATTATTGCAAATAAACTATAAAAAGATTATATAAAATAACACTAAAAATAATGTTTATCAGTTTATATACTATTTAATATTTTTTTTAAAATTTAAGTGATGGCCCGCGGGCCAGCCCGCGAGACCCGCAAGCCCACATGAGGCGCGCTTGGGTTGTATAGTTCCAAGCCCGCGGGCTTCGCGGGCCGCCCCGCCAAAGCCCGCCAAATAAAAAGCCCGCGGTGGGGCGGGCCTAATGAGGAGGGCCGGCCCGTATTGACACCCATACATTTTAGTCAATTATGGATCATTTTTTATTTTCAGTCAATTATTAATATTCATTTCCTTTTCCAATTAACCTAATTTATGTTCTTTTTTTCATTTTTAATTTTCAGTCAATTATTAATATTCATTTCTTTTTTCAATTTACCAAATTTCCATTCCGTTTTTAATTGAAGATGTAGAATATTATTGTGAAATATTTCTGTTTGTTTTTTTTTTAGTTTTTTATTTCCATTCGTTTTTAAATTTACATTTACTATTTACAATTGTTTGGGCAGAAAATCAAGTAAATATGATTTTATTTTTAATTATACTATAAATTGCTATTCCTTTTTCCTTCATAATTTTTTTCTAATATTTCATTTGTTGGTTACTAAATTTTTTGTAGGGAAAGCTGTGTTATATTTTCAATGCAATATTAATATATTAATTTTCCTTTTTTCTTCATAAAAAAATATATTGATTTCCATTCATTTTTCCTTCACAATTTTTTTCTAATATTTCATTTGGTGGTTACTAATTTTTTCGTATGAAAAGCTATGTTATATTTCCAGTGAAATATTATTATATTCATTTCATTTTTTCTAATATATCATTTCCTTTTAAATATATTCATTACATTTTTTCCGTCAAAAAAAAAATTAATATTGATTTTCATTCCTTTTTCCTTCATAAGTTTTTCCTAATATTTCATTTGGTAGTTACTAATTTTTCCGTATGAAAAGGGTATTATATTTTTAGTTAAATAGTAATATATTCATTTCGTTTTTTTTAATATTTTATTTCTTTTTTAATATATTCATTTCCTTTTTCCTTAGTAAAAAAGAATTAATATTGATTTTCATTCTTCTTTCCTTCATAATTTTTTCCCTAATATTTCATTTGGTGGTTACTAATTTTTCCATAGGAAAAACTGTGTTATATTTTCAGTAGAATATTAATATATTCATTTCGTTTTTTCTAATATTTCATTTCCTTTTGAATATATTCATTTCTTTTTTCCTTCCTAAAAAGAATTAATATTGATTTCTATTCATTTTTCCTAATAATTCTCAATTAATTGGCCTGATTTTCATGCCTATTAGTAACAGAATATTAATAACATATTTATGTGTGTAATATTCATTTCTTTTCTCGTTCATAAAAAGAATTAATATTCATTTCCACATTATTAAAAAGTAATATAATTATAAGAATATAATTTCTGATTATAGTTAATTTCATTAGAGGTCCCTTGTCTTTGGTGGCAATTCCAATTTAGTCTCAGACTATCGTTTTTGTCATTTAACATCCCAGACTATTGTTTTTTGGACACTTTTAGTCCTTCTCATGACTTTTCTTATTTTTAGTAAGAGCATTTTTGTATCTTCATATTTTTCTTTTGTTATTTTTCTAGTTTCAACCGGTATAATTAGTTTAAGACTTTACTAAAAATTGGTTGAAAAATATGATTACTAAAAATCAGAGTTACCTAAAGTTCTAAACCAATTAAACCGGTTAAAACTGAAAAAATAACAAAAGAAAAATATGAAAATATAAAAATGCCCTTACTAAATATAAGAAAAGCCATGAGAAGGACTAAAAGTGTTCAAAAAACAATAGTTTGGGATGTTAAATGGCAAAAACGATAGTCTGAGACTAAATTTGAAATAACCACCAAAGATAAGAGGCCTTTAGTGAAATTAACTCTTACGGATTATATTTCCAGTGAAATATTAATACATTCATTTTCTTTTTTCTTCATAAATAATTAATCTAATTATAATAATATAATTGCTGATTATATTTTAAATGAAATATGGATATATTCATTTCCATTTTCATTCATAGAAAGAGTCATTTTCATTTATTTTTCCTTCATAATTTTTTCCTAATATTTCATTTGGTGGTTACTAATTTTTTCATAGGGAAAGCTATGTTATATTTCCAATGAATTTTTAATATTAAATCCATTTTTCATTTGGCATGATTCCCGTGCCTATTAGTAACAAAATATTAATAATAGATTCTCGTATGTAAAATTCATTTCATTTTTCATTCATAAAAGAAAGTATTATTCATTTCCATATAATTAAAAAGTAATATAATTATGAAAATATATTTGACGATTATATTTCTAGATAAATATTACTATATTCATTTCTTTTTTCTTTAAAAAAAAATGATTGCCGATTATATTTTCAGTGAAATATGAATATATTCATTTCCCTTTTCCTTCATAAAACGAATTAATATTTATTTCCATTCCTATTTCTTCATAAAAAGAATTATGTTAGGAATATATTATAAATTTTGATGAGCCAAATGTATTTTTGAAAAATCAAGTAGTCCCCATTTTTATTCTATTTGAGTCAGTTTAAGTCTACGGAGTATGGTGCACCCATATCATGCAACCCATGTACAAGTCTGGAATATCATAATTTATTTGAAGAAGTTAAGCGGGATTATAGCTTAACACAATTATGATGCGGATAGGTTAACAAGAACCATGTTAGAGGAGTTGGAAGAAACGTGTGTGAGCTATGTTAAATGATCCTAAGTTTAAATCTCAAGTAAAGCATTTTTACCTTGCTTGGGAGACTAACCTCCATCGTATTGGAGACTAACTAAATTGGAGACTAGCTAATATGGAGACTAGCTGGGAGACTAAGTAAATTGGAG